GTGCAATGTCACACGCTCTACGCACAATGTTGCTTTGCATTTTTGGAGGAGCCCCCTTCCCAAATGCGATGCAACATTGCATGTCGCATATGTGACATCACACGTACTGCATGCAGGCGTGCGCATGTGACGTCGCAAATCTGTTTTGTAGCAGCAGGCACACACAATCCTAAAGGTGAGGTGGCGCCCCCAGGTTGGTGTAGTTTGGCTCCTGGTAATAAAGCCAATTTTCTTTTATCGGCATTGCTAAGCACCATTTAAAAAATAGATTTGAGTGATCTAAGGAAGAGTGAAAGAGGAAAAATATCAAAGGGGGGGGATTAAAATAATGTTAAAGGTAAAGTACCCCTGACAGTCGCGAACGACTCTGGGGTTGTGGCGCTCATCTCGCTTTTGAAATATACTTGGAGTCCTGTAGTGATTTCATGCTCTTTATTGCAGCTTGTAAAACAGTGATTTAATTGCCCCCCAACCTCAGGCTTTTATATACATTATTTAAACAAGGGACACAGGTGGCGCTGTGGGTTAAACCACTGAGCCTAGGACTTGCCGATCAGAAGGTTGGCGGTTCGAATCCCTGCAACGGGGTGAGCTCCCGTTGTTCAGTCCCTGCTCCTGCCAACCTAGCAGTTCAAAAGCACATCAAAGTGCAAGTAGATAAATAGGTAGCGCTCCGGCGGGAAGGTAAACGGTGTTTCCGTGTGCTGCTCTGGTTCGCCAGAAGCTGCTTAGTCATGCTGACCACATGACCTGGAAGCTGTACACCGGCTCCCTCGGCCAATAAAGCGAGATGAGCGCCGCAACCCCAGAGTCGGTCACGACTGGACCTAATGGTCAGGGGTCCCCTTTACCCTTTAAACAATGAGTCCCGTCTGATTGGCTGATTCTGCTTCCCTCCTGGAGCCTGATTGGTCTTTTCCTGCAGGCCAATCAGTTGTTGCATTCTACGATCCTACCACCCTAATAGGCTGATTAACTTCCTCCTGGAGCCTGATTGGTCTTTTCCTGCAAGCCAATCAGTTGTTGCATTCTAAGATCCTACTTGCCTATTGTTCTAGGATCCAAGCTTAGTACATAACACCTTACTGGCCGAGAGAGCCGGTGTACAGCTTCCAGGTCATGTGGCCAGCATGACAAAGCCGCTTCTGGCAAACCAGAGCAACACACGGAAACGCTGTTTACCTTCCCGCAAGAGCGATAACTATTTATCTACTTGCACTTTGATGTGCTTTCGAACTGCTAGGTTGGCAGGACCTGGGACCAAGCAACGGGAGCTCACCCTGTCACGGGGATTCGAACCACCGACCTTCCAATCGGCAAGCCCAAGAAGCTCAGTGGTTTAGACCACAGCACCACCCGCATCCCAAAATAATGTTAAGCTTAGTGAATTCTGAAATATTTCTATAAACAGACACAGAGATTAATAAATGCTTGCATTCCGAGTTAAGAGGTTATTCAGCAGACAAGGCAGCTAATAATAGCCTAAAAAGAGTATTCAAGTGTATTCTTTTCATGTGATCAGCCAAATTATTCATATATATAATTCAGCACAATTGTTTGACATTCCTGAATGTCCTGAGAAGAATATCCCAGAATTTCCTTTCCACTTGTTCATCCAAATTATTCATATTCATCATTTAACCTAATTGTAACCACATTCATCAAGCTCTTGCCACCTTATCAGCCATTCCACCATTGAGCTAATGTTAGGCAGGATTTTATGACATCTCAAGGTACAACAACTGAACGGAAACCAAATATACTGGAATGAAACTACACATGGTTTTAAAATTAAATTAGAAAATCTTGTTCTAATTCTGAAGGGACCTGCATATTGAGCTATATATTCTTTACTGATGTCTGGGTCAAGATCTTATCAGCTTTATTATGAAGAATGTCAATAATAGACTACATGAAGATAAAATGTTTAATTAAAAATGAACACTGTATACTAGTTATCAATCAGAAAACGGGGCCTATCACATACTGTCCTCCTTTTCCTATTAAACATTATTATTACACATTGTGGAATTTGTAAAAAAAAAAAAAAAAAAAGGTTAACTTGTATATATATATCCCTTAGACAAAATAGTTTAAAATTAGTTGCATCCTGGGCAAGTTATATACTTCACTGATCTGTGCCAATTATGAAATGAATGAGTGTGATCTCCTTTTCAGCAGCCCTCAACCTGAATTTCTGGCTAATAAATATTGTTATTCAGAACAGGCAGAGTCTCGGAGATAGATCAGCCTGGTTACCAGACACGTCAGAAGCTGCTTTGACTCCACCTACCCTTCAAACCATAGATAAGAAGGTTATTCAGATGAAATTGGCAAAGGTAGGATTTCCGCTTCTCAAGGCACTCAAATACCAGCAAATGAAGCTGAGAGGAGAGTTCTTGAACAGAATTTATTTAGTGCTTTTATATCCCAACTTTCTTCAAGGAAGGCAAGACAAAGTGAATGGGATTCCCAGGTGATCTCTCATCCAGGCTCCAACCAGACCCAGATTTGTTTAGCTTCAGAAAAGTGACAAAATAATCTGACCTCAGAAATCACTAGGACTGAGCACCATTAGAAATACAGTATAAAGGCTGTCAAAATATAATTTTTCAATCGAACTACTTCATTTGCACAATAATGTTATAAAATACTATACAGTAGCATGCTTTAGTTAATATCCTACTTTTTTCTTCCTTTCCTTTCCATTTCCTGTTTTACAACTAATGCATCAAAGGTAATCATGCACAGGCATCACCTTCAAAATTTGTGGCCAAGCACCAAAATGTGGTCTCAGCAAGCATTGCATGTGAAAAGTTTTTTTGCCTGGTGCACACCACCAAACAAAAGGTCACCATTGCCATTTTTTATAAAACGTATCTGTTGGTAGTCGTGGGGCCTCTGGTTGCAAACACGTCCTTCACATCTTTCTATGCCCACTGCTGAACTCAGGGGACTGTGTTTTTCCCCCCTTTAAAAGTGGTGTATAGCAATGGGAATAGAAGTTCCTTCTAATAAACACAGAAACAAAGCAAAATAATAATAATTCACTATTAAAGTAAATTTAAAGTAATAATTCAAAATTTTGACCTAACATCAAATAAGCCAAATGATGAATTAATTAGAAACTGGAAGGAAGAGTTATAGAAGCAAATACTCCCAATTAATAGTACATTCGCTTATCAGATTTTGGTTGAAAAGAGCAAGAAAGAATAGCCAGTACTGTAGAACTTAGGAGAATTGGCCTGACCCAATCATGACCCTTTACAAGAAAGGAATAAGAACAAATTCAAGTTGATGCAGAAGCTGTAGTGAAAGCATAAAGGGCTATTAATGAATTACGCTACCTGATCAGTTCAAAAGATAGTGATCAGGTAAGAAGTTTCTCTCCTCTTGACAGCTCCTCTATTTACAGGAAAGGAAGTCCTCTTTCCGTGACAGAAAACTTTCTAACTACTGTGATTGTTGCATGATAAGTACAATTATTGTGCACGAAATGCAGTGCTAATGCTCAACTAAGTTTGGTTCAGAATTAATTCGCAATTGCGACAATTGAAAAGTTCTCAAATTAACAAAACAAATATTTTAAAACATTGACCTGTTCAGCTGATGCTCCATGAGAACGAATGACCCTCCCAAGATACAGTAATGATATTCAAAGACAGCAGTAGCAGTGTAGATCATGTGTGGAGTTATGCAATTAGACCTTGCCCTTAAACCTGAAAATCAATGTAATTGATCAACAAATAGACTACTGGCAGAAATGCTAGATGAGACCGTAATTCAGGATAGCATGAATGCGGTCTGCAGCCAGAACTAGGGAATGTAAGTGATGAGAAAGGGCAGCAAGAAAGGACATGGAGTGGGTGGAGGGGAGTCAGATACTATTCAATAGTAACTTTTAGTCTACGGCATAAGATGTCGACAACATGTAATAGTAATAAATGAGATCATTTTTACAATAAATAAATAGGTGATTCTCATGCTTACACCATAGGCTTATGGATCAGCTTAAGCTCTATCAGAAACAAAGGGCAATAGTGCTCTAATTGAAGCATTATCACATACAGTGGTACCTTGGGTTAAGTACTTAATTCGTTCCGGAGGTCTGTTCTTAACCTGAAACTGTTCTTAACCTGAAGCACCACTTTAGCTAATGGGGCCTCCCGCTGCTGCCACGCCGCCGGAGCACGATTTCTGTTCTCATCCTGAAGCAATGTTCTTAATCCGAGGTACTATTTCTGGGTTAGCAGAGTCTGTAACCTGAAGCGTCTGTAACCTGAAGCATATGTAACCCGAGGTACCACTGTACTTAGGAATTCTGAGTTGGCAAAATAAATTGCAAGTGAGGGTGTGCTCAAGGCGAGGCCACCATGGGGAACACAGGGTTCAAAACCCCTTGCTCCCATGGTAGCCTCTCAATCTGGATCTCATGCACAGTGACTGCAAAAATTACCTGCGTTTAAGGGTGGGGTTGTGTGAGTATTTTTTCTCTCACAGAAGAAACTGGTTAATTTTTCTGAGCAGGAAACTCATTGCACCTACTAGAACAGGCATGTCCAACTCCCAAGAGACTGCGATCTATTCCCACTATTAAAAAACTGGCAGTGATCTACCCATTGGATTGACCAAAGTTGTTGAGCTTTTGGCATTCAGAGGCATACACCCTGTAACACTAAATGAGGCACAAACATCCTCACCCAGAGCTCCTAACAGTACCTCCATCTAGATATGATTCAGTTTCAACTTCTTCACCTCCACTTAGTCCTGAAGTGACACCAGACTAATAAAATCTCTAAACCTGGATGCCTCATTGTCTACAAACCCAAAATATCTTGTGCACTGTGACATCATGTGTTGCTTTGTCAAACTTAGAGAGTACAAAGTCATCTGGAAAAGATCTCTAGTGAGACATTCAAGTTACAACACCCCCTGGCCAGCAATTTTCATTTCAAAAAGCCACACAAACTATTATTTATAATTTCATTTTATTCCCTTTTATATCCCACTTTATGAATTTTTCAAAGGCTCTTAGTTTATATATATTCTTCCCCTCCCTCTTTCTCATCAAATAGATTATATATATTCCTCCTCTCCTTCTTTCTCATCAAAGGTTTCTAATTTAGCTTGTGACATCAACAACAATCTGGAAAGGAAAAATCAGGCCAAATCTCCCCAACAGCTTAAGATTCATAACAGTATTGCAAATGAGCCTTTTCCTTTTATAATTTATACTGATATTTACCACAATTGTTGAAACACAAAATGGTTCAATGGCCATCAAATAAAAACACTTAGAATTTATATAGCCTATTTACAACTCACTTCAAGTGTTTAAAGAGATTCACATGCATTGCAGCAGCAACATTTGCAATGACCATGCCAGGTAGGAGAGTATTATCATAACCAAATTCTGGGCTAAGGAGAAGGGATAAAATATTGAATATTGATTAGCATACAACATCCTAGTAAATTTGTTGCCAATGTGACCTTTGAGCAAGGGAATTTTCTACGGCACAATCACAGCCACTCCATTCACCAGATGTGCAAATACAGTAGGCTATACTACCAAACCAAAAACCCCACATCCAAATTATATAGGGTACTTTTGTAGGGATGCGGTTGGCACTGTGGTCTCAACCACAGAGCCTAGGGCTTGCTGATCAGAAGATCAGCGCTTCGAATCTCCACGACAGAGTAAACTCCTGTTGTTTGATCCCAGCTCCTGCCCACCTAGCAGTTTGAAAGCATGTCAGTGCAAGTAGATAAATAGGTACTGCTCCGGCGGGAAGGTAAACAGCGTTTCCGTGCGTTGCTCTGGTTTCAGTGTTCTGTTGCACCAGAAGCGGCTTAGTCATGCTGGCCACATGACCAAGAACCTGTCTGTGGACAAACACTGACTCCCTCGGCCTATAGAGCAAGATGAGCGTGCAACCCCAGAGTCGTTTGCGACTGGACCCTAACGGTCAGGGGTACCTTTACCTAGGGTGCTTTGTAAAGACAACCACTGATAATTAAAAAAAAAAAAGATGCTGAGAAATATAATAAATGTATCTCAAAAAAGATACTAAGCAAATAGATTTTGATTATATATTCAAGTATTTGCTACATGCAGACCATCATTTATAGCCACCATTTATTTTTTATACAGAACACATTCACTAGAAAGTAACAGATCACCAAGTTCTTACATATAAATGTTGCATAATTTATTTATTGCTCCCCCCCCTTTCTTACTGGTCTAACAACTTATACTTTATTTTTGCTTCTTAGTGTTTCACTTACTCATGTCCTACATCCTTTTGTTTCGTGTTTTTGTGTGTGTGGTTTTTTTTTTAATGTTTCTCTGGGATTGTTCCCAATAGCTGACCCTGTGCCCCTTTGGTCAAGGAATCAGGTCAAGTGCATGACATCCAATGCTTCTCCCTCCTGATGGTTGTCTACTGCTGCTAGGTTCCCTCCACAGCATGTTAAACATCTGTGCAAGTGAAAGCTTAAATATGGGTGACTTCAGCGTAAAAGCTGTTTGTAGAAACTAAAGCCAGTAGCAAAACTAGCCTAGAATTCTCGAAAACAGTACACGAATTTTAAGCACAATAATCCATAATAAAATATGGAGCCTGCATCTAAATGGTTATTTCCTAACACAACATAAATCCTGATCTTGCTTCATTTCCTTTTTGTCAAGAGCCAATAATCTGTATACTCAGGCTTTAAAAGAGGTTTTCCTTTGCTTAAAAGCAATGGCTGGGAACGAAACTTCAATAGAGTTATTGTTAACACACACTAGGAATTGTTTGAGGATATTTTAGTAGGTGCCACAAAACCCACAACTGTTAAAACAAAGGAAGATGGAGCTACAGTCTGCACAAGCCTTTTGATTAGAAGACAACCATTGGAATTTAATATAAAAATAAGCCTACAAATGGTAAACAATGGGAATTTAATATTAAGAAATATGAACGAATACCTAAGTAATTTAGTCAAGCAACAAAATATGAAGAGGCCCTAGAAATATATGTTTATTATAACCAAAATTTCTGCACTAGTTTTTTAAAAGTGTGCTAACTCATCCACTGTTCTGGAGCAACACAGCAACACAAGAAACCCTCTAACTCCTTTTTCTGGATTATTTTATATACTTGGATTTTTAAAAACTTTTTTTGGACTGACCACTCAAAAATTGCTGGGGTTTTAAACACATAAATGCATAAACGTCTTTCTTTGGTGCCTTTTCAAATTAAGAAAATCCTAAGGCAGTGTCTTAGATCCATCCCTTGTGTTGAAATATCATTATTAGAAAAAAATAAATCAAGTTCTTGACTGCTCTGCTCCCTTTCCACAGACTGCCTGAAGGGAGCTTGTGGACCACCAGACGAAAGTTTGAGCTATCTACTACAAACCAAGGTTAGGGCTGGGTGATATCTGATTTTGAATACTGTATCGTGATATATCACCAGCTAAACATCGCGATATACCAATATATTACAATGTCTGAAATAAGGATGGAGCTATGTAGAGGCATTGGCTGGCTTCATGGTTTTCCCTGAATCATGATTTTTGCATAGCACACAATCATGTTCATGATACATTGCCAGGTCAAAAATTATGAAACCGATATCACCATATCTTGGGGGTACCTCAAGGACTGCCTCTCCCCATATGAACTGACCAGACCCTGAAATCATAATCTGAGGCCCTTCTTTGTGTACTCCCTTCCACGAGAGGTCTGATGGGTGACAACATGAGAGCGGGCCTTTTCTAAAGTGACTCCCCATTTGTGGAATGCAGGCATGTCACCTTGTCCCCGCGACAGCGGGTGCCTGAGGTGTGCAAGCATGTGTGTGTGATGTCAGTACACCTGCAGCATGCTGATGTAACTCGTGCATGATGCCAATGTGACACACACATGTCCCGTGGCGTGTGCATGCCACCAAGTGGAATCTTGGGGGGGCACCCCTTCCTTTATAATTTGTGGGAACCCAGGGCGCCGCATAGTCTGGTGTCTATGGTGGAATGCTCTCCCCAGTGAGGCTCGCCTGGTGCCTTTGTTACATACAGTTTGGTGAAAACATTTCTTTACAACCAGGCCTTTGGCTGCTGATTAAACAACCTATGGCCTTTTTATTGTGTTTGTGAAAGTGGACTCATTGGTTTTTGGTTATGTATTCTGTGTTCTCATTTTGTATGTCGTGACCCACCCTGTGCTCTTCGAATAAAGGGTGATATACAAATTTAATAAATAAATGATAAATGATAGGTTTGTGAGACAGGGCTTGCCTGTGCAGAAGTCATGCTGGCTCAGTAATTTCTAGGCTCAACCACAATTGTTTTTAAAAATTGTGCTAAATTGGCTATTTTCCCATCCTCAGGTATGGAGGCTATCTGAAGAACAAGTTATACATTTTTGTTAGAAGATTAGGGATTTCACATTTGAGTTCTTTGCAAATTCTCAGGTGGATGCGATCTGGATCCAGTCTTTCCCACCCCTGCCGGTAGATGCCATGGACTGGAACTGGAATCTTTTGGGTGCAAAGCATGTGCTTTATCACTGAGTTATTGCTCTTCTCCCAATGCTACTTCATCTGTAATGCTACTGTGCTGAGCATATTGCATAAAACACTGAACATATGGCATAATGTAGTGTCTTTGAGTGACAAATATCTTGTTGACAAGGTGCAAACACAAACCTGTATTGCACCAAGTACTTACTACTAACAAAAATTCTCCTTTCTCTGTACTCTTCTATTGGTTGTACTGTAGTTTCTGGCAACCCTCCATCTACACAGTAACCATATTATTAGAAAATGTGCTGGACCACAAAAATGAAGGAAGATTGATGTATGTCAAACCACACCTTTAAGTTTAAAGATAAATAAGCAGACAGGGGTATAAAAATACAAAAGAAAAGATGTGGAGATTAAAGGCAAGAGTTTCAAAACATTCAGATTGTATTCTAAGATCATTCCAACATATATTTTATGGTACTTGCCACAACTATCAAAAGGCATGTTGTGCTGCAGATATCTTTGCCAAATAAACATTATGACATAAACATTACATGCTGTTAAATATGGGAAGAGTGCCAAAACAGTCGTGTTCATCAGAATGTTTCCATTACTTCAATTTTTAAAATACCCCTCAAAATCTAACTGCATCATGAAGCAAACACTGAAAATTCTAATTTAGTATAAAATGTTCCACCCCTCTTTATTACTGAAACACTTTTATTTAGGTTGAGTTATTCACTTGATGCATCATAGATCTGGTTATTACTTGACTGAATGCATGAAATTGGTCTTCCAGATGATTTATTATCTTCACAGGCTTCTGGCTTCCAGCAGAAAGTGTGTGGAAAGTGAAATATCACATATTGGCTATTGTGTGTGGACTGGTTGTTCTTCCCAACCATTGTACATCAACCCACTTTCATATCTGGTTATACAGTAGTTGCATAGTCCCAGTAGCAAACCTTTTACTCTTTGGTGGTGGTAGTAGTAGTAGTAGTAGTAGTGTGTACATATTTGCATTATTACAAACTTACATTTAATATCACCAATACCAGTTTTATGTTAGTTTTTAGCCATTTGCACTGATTACTACAGAGTGCTAAGACGTGAGCACTATAACTTTCACATAGCATGCAATCATGATGCTTCTTTCCAAGGCAGCTTAGTAAACTATAATTGTGTCTATGTGTTTTCTTTAAAGGTCAAAGGCGAACAGCAGTTTAAACCCACATTTTAGTAAAACAAACTTGAACTTTCTAAACAATAACTCTCCTTTTTATACAGTGATGGGGGATGGCTGCTTCCTGTCACAAGGCCTCAACAGAAGATAGCAGTTTGAACTAAGATAGCCTGGATAAGCTTTCAGCTCTGTTAAAAAACAGATGCAAAAAAACAGCATTGCACACAATCCTTATCACCATTATGGCTAAAAGTCCTAACTAAAATGATCTGTTAGACAACATACACAGAACACTGATATGCCATGCCACAAACATATGCATGGTGTCATGTTAACTTAGGATGTAGCTGAAACAGAAGAATATATATAATTCTTCAATAATAAATAAGGGCATAGATTATTTTTGGAATCAAATGCAATGTTGAAAGAAATGTTGAAAAAATGAATGGCTAAAAGTATATTTATGCTGATTGTCAGAACCACAGTGAATGTTTTACTGGCAATTTTATCATGCCTACTGACAATTACAAGCAAATCTCAAGAACTGTCAAGTACCCTTCTCAATTCCCAAATTTAATCTAATTTCCAAGTGAATACTGACATTAATAAATCTTCAGAACAAAATGTTTGACACAATATTAACCAATATTTTCAGTAAATGTCAAGAATGTCCAGGTTACTTCAAAAAAACACCCAATTTATTCTCATTTGCAACATTTAATAGAAAATGCCAAAGCAAAATGGTCGAATTATGCCTCCTTTTCATAGAGTTGGTGCATCAAACTGTAGCAGGTGACTAGTTGGAGTGAAATCTTTATGAAAAATTATCCCTGCACATAGATGGCAAGCAAGTCATAAAAATACTAAGCTGAAACCCTTCTTTTTTTCTTCTTGCCATCTAATTTTCCATGTACAGTGTTTTGTTTGTTTGTTTGTTTGTTTGTTTGCATGCATTTGCAATCCATCCTATGAGTTCCATCTGCATTCTAAAGTGGTACAGTCCTGACATAGATTTATTCCCTCTATGAGAACTAGACCCATTCACTGAATCCAACTTTTCTTGTTTGCATTGTCTGAAGATGTTAAACGTGTAGATAACACAGTATCACGTTTTCTGTCCTAACCTAAAAACACACCTGCATCCTTATAAGCTACATTGTTATAGAGAGATATTCAATGAAATAGTTCCACTAGCAGCACTTTTGTTTATGCAACTGAATTTCTTCTCTCTATGTGCCCACCACATACTTCTCTAAATGTTTTCCAGTTGACCAGGGCAATTCCCAGAACTTAGGGGGCGGGCAGCAAGAAGAAAGGAGGGAGAGGAAGTTTTGCTTCACAGCCAGAAGTGGAACTGTTTAGATGAATACTATCCATAGCGCTTTAAACTTTTTAATACAGCAAAATTAAGACGAATCCTAACAACATACTTTGAACTTTCCACAGCAACATATTTCACTCTGTTGCAACAGGCACACATAAGTATGCCACCTAATGGAGCTGTCTAATCACAGCAATGCATTCTGATGCTTAGCAGTAACAATTTGCAAAGTAGTTACAATTATAAATGATACAATGTTAAGTGCTTTTCACATTAATGTCATAATCAAAAAATATGTTTCATTAAATGTTTTGTCAAACTACTTTTGTTCATTAAGAAAGCAGGCATATTTTAATAGTATTTGTTACTTATAGCATATACAAATGAACTGATGGTTCAGTGCAGAAAACATCTTTATATACATGTATTTTATATCCCTCAAAAGCATTTTTTGAGAAACTGCTACCACTCTCTTGTATTATTTTATTTCTTTACAGGGCTGTTTTTATTACAATCTGTCTCAAGTCCATGCACATATTAAAAGAATAGAATAGTAAAATCACAATGCAACAAATAAGATGCAGCTAATAGCCCAACTGACACCATAAGTTAGGCTCCCCAGCACTATTTATTCATAGATATTAGATATGACTGTATGCAGAAATGCTGATGCTCATGGAACATGGATTGCTTAGACCATCCCAATTTTGGGATCACCATCCATAGTTCATATTGTGACCAACAAGGCTAGATCATCCTGCAATGTTTTATTATTAACTGCCTACCTTTTTTAAAAAAGCAAATAGTTAAAATCTATACTGAATAGGTGGATTAAGTTTTTTAAAAGATGTCTGATCATGTTTACAATAAAAATCACATTTATAGCATACTCCAGCTGCATACTCCAAATCAGTATTAAATCCACCTGAAGGCAAATAACAATAATAATACCTTTATTGTCATTGTACAAGATGTGCACAATGAAATTAAACGAGCCTCCTTCCCCCCCACAAACACTCAGTCTCGTTGCACTCTGTGTGCTTATCGAACAACACACCACCTCACAAGCAGCAATTTCACTACTTCTCCAGTACATCTTCCCCAAATACAAAGTGACCAAATATCAACAACCAGGGTATGATTTTTATTTATTTTAAAAGCAATATATGCCATTCTATCCTTCACATAAAATTGGCATATTGGTAGATAATATGGCCAATCAGAATCTCAACCAGGCCCTGATAAACATCTCCCCTAAGGGCAGGGAGGGGGAAGGTAATCAAACAAGATGTAAGCAGCCAGACTCTTTTGTTCCTTGATAAATATTTGCCTTTGTCTTTTGTGATAAGGTCTGCTGCCTGCATTTCAACCTCAGAAAGGCCCTGTTGTTTCTGCAGAGAAAACATTTAATTAAGATCATTGCTGATTTTGCAGCCCCCCTGTGTGCTAAAGGAAAGCCAAGAAAGCAGGTAGGAGGGGGGGGTTGGGGGGGTGGAAAATCAAGCCAACCTCCTTGAGTTGTAAACAGGGAAGAACAAATGTTATGCAGGTTCCACAACAAGGAAACACATGCCCTCCTGCTGAAAGTGCTGGGGGGGGGGGGGGAGTTATCTCCTGGAGATCCAAAACTGCAAGGCTGTGGGAAGAGGGCAGGCAAGTAGCCTACAGAATCAGGGCTGTGGGGGAAACCAGGAATGAAAGTCATGCGTTTAAAAGGCTTCTGTGAGATACTAAGGACAAGGAGGTGGGGAATAGAAGTGCACAGATATTCTAATAAAGGTACTGGCAGTCAATGACAAAACCATTTTTGCTCATATCTAGACGTGACAGTGATTCTCTCATGCTATGAAAAAAGTAAGAAGCATAATGAAGAAAACGGATTTGGTGGTTTTCCCAAATTCTTAAAAGGTCAGTTCTATTTCTTTCTTTTTTACAATATCTTTCAAATTATGCCACCATGCGTAATGTATTGAATGAGAAGCAAATAGGTGATTAAAATCAGTGCACATATGCCAGCTAGGGTTATTATACATCCTGATTTTCCTGGACATACAAGGAATACCACAGTCGGCAGCAGTACAGTGGTACCTCAGGTTAAGAACTTAATTCGTTCTGGAGGTCTGTTCTTAACCTGAAACTGTTCTTAACCTGAGGTACCACTTTAGCTAATGGGGCTTCCCACTGCTGCCACGCCGCCGAAGCACAATTTCTGTTCTCATCCTGAAGCAAAGTTCTTAACCCGAGGTACTATTTATGGGTTAGTGGAGTCTGTAACCTGAAGCATCTGTAACCCGAAGTGTCTGTAACCCGAGGTACCACTGTATCTGGAAATCAGTCAAATGTCTGGTAAAACCGAGACGTGTGTCAGCCCATTTTGGCAGTGCGGGTTTTTTTTTCATAAAAATAGCTCAAAAACTGCAATTTTTGGGGCCAACAAAACAAAACTCGACCAACTTTGCCCAAAAAAGCTTAACAATTTTTCTGTCCAGATTTTCACTGTTTGATGTATGGTAATCCTATGCTAGCCTTTCAGAAATAGACTGCATATGCGATAGAAATAGAGACTCCAACATCACTGAACTCCTTATGGATTTTAGTCACAAAAGTTAGTTATTTGAATTGCTATAAATAGATTTTCAAGATGCTGTACTTAAGATTCAGTCTTAAGATTCAGAGGCCCTTTTTGTTGCATGTATTTCGGAAACAATAACCACACTGCCTTATGTCTTTCTTGCAATTTGTGTAAATTTCACAACAAAGGAAGCAATAAACAAAACCAGAGTGCAATGGGATTAAGCCAAGATTATCTCAATTGATCTTCTCCACAAGTGTAGGGAAACCAGACTCCCTTAAGAGCACTCATGATGATAATGAATAGCAAAAAATTACTCGACTAAAATTGCATCAGCCTAAAGTTGACAGTAAGAAATTATTATGTTGAGTGTTGGGCACACAAATGTACAAGAATGAAAGCTGAGGGCTTTTGACACTGGAGAGGTACTTCCTGCAGTCTTATCTTTGCCGCAACAGCAGGGCTGCTATAAACAAAGATGATTGTGAAGCTCAGACTTAGATATCCATAAGAATTCCCTGAGATAGTCAGTGGAAACTTAAAAGATCTTTTAAAATGTAATGTATTTTCAGAACTCTCAGAAAGCCGAAGAGGAAACAAAAACAGGAGCGCAAAGTAAGCTTACAGTTAAATGTAGATGTAGAATTTGAAACATATTTTATCACTCTGAATGCATAAGAACGCTGCACTGATATGAAATTAGTCTTTAAAGAAAAAATAAATCATTGCTTAAAATTAGAGAGCCTGCAGAGTGTCAAAATGTTCAAAACCAATTAATAGAAAATATCAGCATCATAGGTTGGAATAGACAGTCTCACAGTGAGTAGCATTTTCATAAGTTTATAGAGAATGTAAAGTGAGGCAATAATTTAAAAAGAGGAATGTTTCTAAAGGAAGAGCAAGAAAAGCCATGTTCAAGTGAACACAGGAAGGTATTGTCCATGTGTAAGACCACTGGGATACAGACAAAAGCCTTTCCCATAATACCTATGTGCCTGGATGCTCCTCTCCAGACCTTGTATGTTTTGCATGGCGGTCTGAAGAACGTTTCCAAGTATGGTACGTTGAAACCTGATTAAGATGTGGGGATATTTCTAAGCAAGTTCAAAAGGACACTTTTGACACTCTTTTCAGGCCTTTGTGCTACACACACAAAGAGCCAAAGAGGAGCCTGTACACCCTGGGATGTGGGGGGCAGAGACTACATGTGTACCCCTACCCTCATTTATGGATAAAACCTTCCCATGTTCAGGTGAACATGGCTTTGCAGAGTCTGAAACAAAGATATTAATGCAGCCTAGAAGATTGGAGAT